CTCCCCCACTTTCTCTCTCCCTCCCCCCTCTTCCTCTCTGTCTACTCCCCCTCCCCCAATTCCTCTCTCTTTATCATTCTATGTCTCTCTGTGTTGGAATTTGGTTGGGTGAATACCGTTGACCTCTGTGTCTGAGGAATTTAGTTTGTGTTTTCTGTTTCAAGCCTCATATATCTAATGAATCTCCATGAAGATATATAGCTTCCTGTTGTGAATGACGGGCAGCCTCTGGGCAGAGCACGATGTGATGGCGGCCATGCCTCTGGATACAATGTTATTAGGTTCTGCATACATTTCAGAGGTCAGGGTCATCATGTCCCATGTCTTCCCCTGGCCTGAGTGACCTCCTAATATATGGCTGTCAGTAGACCATCTCCGTCCAGCCAGTTATTGATTTTCTCTGTGAAATTGTCATCCCACTGATGGGTGAGAAGGACTTTGCAACATTATGTCCTATCATCCCCTTTTACTATTATGATGTATATTTTATAGGAGATATCCAAAAATATTCCTCATCTGGGGCTTGGTCTTGCTTCTTGTGAGTAAGACAACTTATAGAATTCATCTTTATATTCACTTTCCGCTCACCACAATCTACTGACCTTTTAGGAATCTCTATTGCCAGTAATTAACAAAATATTTTTAGGAGAGAAATATGTAAGTTGCCATCATCTCCCTCTCCTTCCAGGGTCTCATGCCCACATACCCGGCCACAGAACTTTCTAAATCTGCAAAAACACTTGTAAGATGCTTATTCCATTGGTTCAGACACAAGGAACTTGCTGGCTTTGATAGGGCAGCTCTCAAACACACAAACCTCCCTCAGTGGGCACCCAGGAGCAACCCAAAGTGTAGACATACAAATGGGCACCAAAGTGCCTTAAATTGTTTGTAATACCATCACATAAAAACATTCAACGTGTTTCGGTGGGGCAAACATCTATCCTCCTTTATTGGGGCATAGAAGAATGGAATAAGGACTTGAGTAGACTCAAAGGAAACCTTACCCAAATGGATCTATGTCTGATCTGATTCTTTTCTAAGATTGGAATTATAACAATGTATTCCGATGAACGGAGTTCGTCGTTTGTGTGATGGTATTTTGCGAGCCATTAAAGGCATTTTGGACTCTTTCACTTTGTGGTTTGGCGCCCATTTGTATGGCACTGAAAAGTATGGAGATCAGGATGTGGCCACATTTTCTTTTGGAAGTATCGTCATTAACCACTTGCTGACCGCGGTGTTAAACCCCCTTCCTGTCGTGGCCATTTTTCAGTATTCAGCGCTGCGTTACTTTGACTGACATTTATTCCGTCATACAACGCTGTACTGAAACAAATTTTATACCATTTTTTGGGGACAGATAGAGCTTTCTTTTGGAGGTATTTAATCACCACTGGGGTTTTATTTTTTACTATATAACAAAAAAAGTACCCTAAATTATGGAGAAAAGAAAACATTTCCCTATGAATTGTTATGAAACATTTATTATCACCCCAAATTTTTGGTAAAATATAAAAGACGGGGTCACGTCGGGTAAATAGACTGCAAACATGTCAAGCCTTTAAAATTGTGTGCGTCCGTGAAATCGCACAAAACGACCATGCCCAAAATTGGCTATAGGCGACGCTATAAAAGCTTTTTAATTTGTGTGATTTAAAATAAAAAATTATTTGTGACTTTTTTGAAGCTTCTTTCTTTTTTTTTAATGCTTTAATTTTTTTAAGACTTTTTTTTTATTGCACTTAACTGTATTGCTATCACATAGGGAATAAGAAATCCCCTATGTGATAGACAATGTAAACAGCCATCGCTGGCTGTTTACATTTCTGACAGTTTCCCCACTCGTGTGCGCACTGACACCCTCCCGCTCCTATAAGGCTCCCGTCCGGACGTTCAGGAACGGCCATGGACGGGAGGAGGTTAAAGTCATACAGATTTGATAAGTCCGCTTTTATGGGATCACTTCTAAACTATACCGACCAATCGGACATCACTTGACATTAGTTTGGACCCTTTGTATTGTCTTCACTTACTGCCCTTAATAAACAAGCCAAAAGAAAGCCCAGTCTTGCGTTAAAAAAAATAGGCTGTTTCTTTTTCCCCTCATGAGCGGTCGGACTCGGCGTCTAGGGCCGCGCAATTGGCGGAGTGAAAGGCGATCTCTAGGGACAGCGGGAAAGCAGACCTGCGTGACATTACCATCTTCAGCTGCATTTCCCAGATAAAAGGCCGCGCTGTGCTGCTTCTCTATCCCCGAGCCAACGCCAGAGCCGGGCCGGAATTGAATTACACCGCTTCCATACTATCATTGATGCGCTACTAGGCCCCAGAGAGGAGCCGCGTCGCCGCCGGCAAGCTCAGAGGACAAGCAGGCCGAGGTTTAATCTCATTACCCCGATCGGTTTACATGCAGTGCTCCGGAATTGCCAAATGCTCACCAAATTAATGTCCTAGTAGATGCGCCCTTTTTTGTTTTAGCTTTTTGACCTCAATTTTGGTCATACAGAGAATTGGCTGCGGGCCGGTGAGCAGTACCGGCCAAGATGCACGCGTTGAACATTTATGCTGTTTTGGAAACATTGTTTTATTCAGGTAAAAAATAAACACTCAATTATTTATATCATCAGAGAGATGCAGCTGGTTTGTTACCTGAATTCAGGGCAGGACTGCAGTCTCTTGTCTCACTGTCACAACCCTTTCATGGTCCAGCGTGTGTGAGCGAAGCGGCAGGGAGGTACAAGAGAGGGCGTTACCTGGAACAAGAAGAACTTGCCTGGTTTTTAGATACTCACACTGAGGACCAGCTACAATGAGATAGATAGATAGATAGATGGATAGATAGATGGATAGATAGATAGATAGATAGATAGATAGATAGATAGATAGATAGATAGATAGATGCCAGAGTTAAAATGGGTATAACAATGGATCTAGGATTGAAGGGCCACAGCACAAATTTATAGTCCAGATACAAGTTTATTCTAATGTGAAGTCTGGTAGAAGATCCTATGAGGAAGCCAACACGTTTCAAGGGCCCAAAATGCCTTTATCAGGGCTAAAAGATGAGTGACCATGTATATTGACTTACCTGAGGGTGCAGTGTTAACTGTATTTTACCAGTATAGTATCAGGCAGATGACTTGTTAGCAGCATTAAAAGAGTTAAAATGGGAGCCACTCAGTATGGGCTTTACATTAGATATGTTCATCTGTAGTGAACCTCTTGAAGAATGTTATATTCAATAGGCTGTCTTATATTCTGGTGAATTTTATTAATAAGTAACTGTCC